GCGGGAAGCCCTGCTCCCCCAGTCCCGCGGGGATTTCTGCAGGGGGGTGGCACGGGGTGGCCTCTTGCTCAGAGGAGTTCCTGCGGGCCTTGTGAAACGGGGTGTAGCTGGAGCTGCCCGGGGCTGACAGGCCATCGGGGACACAGCCGGGTTCTGGCAGAGGCGCCCCAACGTCTCTAACCTCAACGGGCGGCTCGTGGCGTTGTGGGAGTAATTAAAAGGCAGAAGAAGCAGAGAAACTCTTATTGTGCAGAGCGAGATGTGCTGGCCTGGGGCCTTCTCATGGCAGCTTGTGGGTGTGTTGTCACACCTAAAATAAAGAGAAACCCACCCCATACCTGAGGGCAGACAAACCTGTGATGGAGCTTGGCTGCTGGGGGAGCCGGAGCTGTCTGGAAGCAGCTGGGGCAGATACAGGTCGTCAAGGAGAGCAGAGTGAGCTTAGGAAAATACATTGGTTTGGCCTTTCTTATTTATATCTTAATGCTGCTTCCAGGTTCGCCGGCATTTAAATCTCATTTTAGATTGTAAAACAGAAGGAAACGGAAAGAACTGACCTTTAAAGAGCTGAGGTGGAGGTAGGAATTGAGATAACATTGATTTTTCTGTTTATCAGCAACTCTAGAAACCAGTTTTCAAATACATATGGGGCAAGCAGTTTAAATCTCATAGCAGCATAAATCATTATATTACCTAGAGAAAAAGAGGGAAAAAAATAAGCAGGGAAAGCAGTATCGGTGCCTTTGAGTAACATACATGCACTTCAGATAACTCTCTGAAAGTTAGCAATACTGCATGACTTCTAAGAATAAAAATGTAAACAATAATGCGGTAAGCTGATTATTTTATTCTTTAAATCTGAGTGTTGAAATAAGACATCGTTTCTGCCCTGTGCTGTTGCTCTGGCGTACCCGTGGGTTGCCGCTCGGTGTGAGTGCTGCCGGTGTAGGGCCTGTCCTCTTGGGGCTGTTCTTCTGGTTTTAAGACTTCTCAAGGTAACCTTGTTTTGAATATTCCCGTAGCGCTGTGGCAGTCGGGTATCAAACGGGTGTTTATCGAACCGTGTCTGCATAGGTGAGCTCAAGGTTACCTCTCCTTCTCCTGCGGCGGTAGGGCACTTCTCTGCCACTGTCAAGTGAAAGAAAAATGCTCTTTTCTTTGCACTTGGAAGTAAAGTAGTGGAAGAAGCGGGATGTATGTGTGATTTGTAATCCTATAACTGCTCAGGAAGCATACAGTGATCAGTATGTGTGTGTATGTGTGTGTACACTTGGGTTCTTCTTCCTCAGACCTTGCTAAGAACATACACTTACACGGGTGGATGTCTGCATGTCTGGGTGTCGAGTGACCCTACCATAGCTGGATGTTCTGCAAATAATCCATTCCTGACTGACAGCTTCCAGAACATCGTTGCCTTGGATTTTTATCTCTACTAAAGCAACTCTTCGTTTGTTTTTCGGTGAAGACCTGCAATGACTCCAGTAGCTTAGTCTTCATATGAAAATGTTGCAGCCATCATCCAAACTTTGTATTCATGAATCAGCCCCACTGCTCAGTATTTGTTTCATGGGACCAGGGGTGTTGAATGTGAATGAACATTGAATGTTTATAGCAATACTTGGTTTTTGTATTACCACTTCTTACTGTTTTGGGGTTTTCTTGTCATGCATGACTGGTTGTGCTGAAGTCAGAGTTTCCTTACCATAACAGATTATGCATCTTGATTTTAGGACTAAAAGAGTCCATAGATCTGTTTCACATCAGTTCTTCAGCCATTTGAGATGACAAGTGTTGAAAGCCAACATGAAAGAGTAAATTATTAGAAGGATCAAAGGAATTTTTACTTCCTGACCCCAACGTTTCTGCTGTTTTTTGAGGAATGTGGCTATCACAGTGTGCGTTGTGAAATTGTTCTGCGTTCTGTGAGCTGAATGGCAGTCTGGTTACGGCACTGTCAGTCGGTCTGCTCGCTGCGGGTTAAGAACGCATGCTGGCAAAAATGGATGTTGGCAGGCATATGCTCAGCTATACACTATTTTTATGGGAGAGCTGTGTCTCTACTGGGGTTTGTGTCAGCAGTTGTCTTGATAAGACGTGAGTATCTCCGGACTTTACAAAGCAAAAGAGACAGAAATCTGTAGCAAAGATCTGACCCATAGACGTTAGCCACAGAGTGAGTTGGGTCAGGGGAGCTATGAAACCAAAGCCGGTTTTCTGTCTTGCCTCTTTTGAGATTGGTCACTTGAACAGTGTTTCTTTTTTGAATACTGCTTTTCAGAAACACATTTTGCAGCAGTTTAGCTCCTGTTAGCCCGTTACTTTTTTGAGCCAGATCATGTTCATTCTGCTTTTGATTTTTTCAAATCATAAGAAATTATTCTGTGGTTACAAAGTATATTAAGTTCCAAAGCAAACACATCCCTTTCTAAAGCCTCCTGTTACCTGTGTGAGTAACTATTTGAACAGTAATTCAGAGTTCTTCAAGGTACAAAACTAATTACCATGTCCACCCACCCACTAGGCGTAGCTGGTTTCCAAAAGCCACTCTCCTGCTCATTTCTGTGACTTTTGCCACATAGCCTTAACACTGTTCCCCTGATAGTAAAATGCTCTGTAATACCTCTGCTCTCTTGTTGGGTCACTAATGCTTCTTGATATAATTTGAAATTGTTGTATGTCATGGTCAGATGGGGAGAAGTTAAGCGTAAATTGCTCAACTTTAGTTCCTTCCTGTACTTTTTAAATAAATCAGCCAAATCAGACACATTAATTATTAGTTATATGCTACTGTCAACATACTGACTGTAGGATTTAAACTAACTATATAGAAGTTAACTCTACAGAGGCATTCAAATGCCAGGGTTTTGTCTATGAAATCTGTGCTTGTTCTGAAAAATCATTAAGTGTTGGATAAGAGCTCAACTTGAATACAAAAATCCGCAGTGCTGTTAAAAGTTACACCCTTGCACAGCAAAATGCCAATAATCCGGATGAAGTGCTGTCAGATTGCTTTAGAAACAGGAGTTGCTGGTCCCAAGAAAACCTGGGGGGAAACTAAGTGTATAATTAAAGCTGGCAGGTCTTCTGTAGATAACATTGGTCTGTCTATTTCCATTGGGGCCTACAAGGAAGCTGGGGGAACTGTTTACAAGGGCCTGTAGTGACAGGACAAGGGGTAACGGGTTTACAGTGAAAGCAGGGAGGTTTAGATTAGATAGCAGGAAGAAGTTCTTCCCAGAGAGGGTGGGGAGGCCCTGGAACAGGTTGCCTAGAGAAGCTGTGGATGCCCCATCCCTGGAAGTGTCCAACGCCAGGCTGGATGAGGCTTGGAGCAACCTGGTCTAGTGGAAGGTGTCCCTGCCCATGGCAGGGGGGTTGGAACTAGATGATCTTTAAGGTCCCTTCCAACCCAAACCAGTCCGTGATTCTATGATTTACTCTTAACATATTTGTCAATGAAGATATTAATTCTGTCGAAATATACCTTTACTATTATGAATGTTGCAGCAGACTTGCAAAATCATCTTTAAAAATAAATACTGTCAGCAGGGCTTATTTGCTGTAAACACCAAAATTTACTAATATTAATGTTTGTGCATACTTTGTAGACTTAACATGGTGTTAGCAAACTTCCAGAAGGACACCTGTTTGGAGTTAAGAGTAATTAAAGGACATTTTCTTTTAGCACACTGCAGGGGGGGAGGCTATATCTTCTCAAAAACTTCCAACCTAGACATTTAATGTAAGTTACACTTCCTAATCATTTACTGAATGTAACCACAAATGCAAATTGTATTAACTGTTTGCATGTTCTGTATTTACTGTCAACAGCTGAAAAGAAATATGCCAGCCTGCTTGGCTCCTTGGAGGGCTTCTCCGTGTGTCTTTAGATCCTCCAAATCAGAACTCATGCCAAATCTAGCCAGTGATGGAGTTGTCTGTGCTCCGCTTCAAACATTCACCGAAGAGGAATCGATGCTGAAAAATATGGGTACCTATTATCTGTGTAGTTAAAATTCAGAAATGGCTAACTAGAAGGGAAATTGTAGCTTAAAAATTTCTTTTCATTCTTGAATTCTAGTTAAATGTTGAGATTGTTGTGGGGGATTGTGCTTAATTTTACAACTGCTTTAGTTCACAAGAGAGAAACATTATGTTCTTTTTCCGTGTTACCCTAGCACAGTCCCACATACCACAGCGCAGTTCGCTCCGCATAAATAAATATTCACTGTTCACAACTGATGCTGTCGCCGAAGCGAAGTTGCCTGGCATTGACTCGTGCCCTTTCTGAAGTGTTCAGTTCAGCTACAGACTGGTTTTCAGGGATTCCAGGTATACCCAGAGTGGTGACGGATGTGATGTGCCTGCAGTGCAGCCAGGCCTGCATGGCGAAGACAGTGTTTCAGAAGGGATCCTCAAAGCAAAGGGGAAAGGACCTGCATATCTGGGAGCAAGCTTATGCACGGCCAGAAACAGTCCTGCTGGATTTTGTGCACTCAGAGTAACACGCATGACAGCCTGAGACCATCCTCCCAAGCAGCAGGTTTAATTTATAATGAAATACAGTACAGCTAACCAAACAAGGGATATATTTGAAATATTTTCTATTCCTTTGTGGTCAACCAGTGTTACGTAGGTGTTGCTGAGATGCTTTCAAAGTTTCTGAATTTATAGAAAGTACGTGTTTCGCTTTAGAGGGTTGTAGCTGAGGTCAGAAAGCAGTTACAGTTGAGCCTTGTGGCACATCACCTTGTTTCCCTTGGGCAACTTTTTGTCCTTTTATGGACTTGCCTGGGAGAGTCAGGGAATACATGCATAACCTGTCAGAAGTAGCACGTTACTGTTGTATGGATCTTAGGGAGAGTGTTGGAATACTTATATGCTTTCTTTCTTCTCTTCGTTACAGTGACAAAATTTGCTCAGGAACGAGTTGCACCTTTGGTGCAAAAAATGGATGAGAATTCGAAAATGGAAGACTCTGTAATACAGGGATTGTTTGAACAAGGGGTCTGCACACTTTTACTTAATCTTTTATACAGAAAGTGACATTTTATGGATCTCTAGCTGTGCACTTTTCAGATTTTTAGATTAAAAGATCGAGGGATGTAATTCAAATGAACTAGTGAATCATTACAAATGTTGGATTTATCAACAGCAAGGCAACTTTCTCTTCCTTTTTACTGCATTGTCACTCTGCATCTTGTACTGTAATGTTCTTTCCATCTCTCTCTCCCCTATACCACATCCTTCATCCTATCTTTGAGTTCCTTCTCTTCCCCCTGCTCTTTTTTGTTTTAATTTGAGAAGTATAATTGTGTAGAATTCCAGAACTGCCACAACTCTGCTAAGTATTGCTGGAAAAGGGTATCAGAAGTCTGCTGTGTCCTTACTGGGTAACTACGAGGGCTTGTGTTGCAGATATCCTGCTTTTCATTCCTGGATTCAATTTTAGCCTTTCCTGCTATCAAACGTAAAGTTTGTCTGTTTAGAATGTCATTTTATACAATGACAACAACTATTAGACTTCTGTTGAGATTGCGATTGTTCTGGAAAACGTAATCAGATGAGGGTGATGATTGGCCTGCCTATTGCACACGTTAGTTACTTCTGAACTGACTGTCAGCTTCTGTGAAGAATTGTTAGTTTGTTAAAGGTGTTGAAGGACGACAGGTCTCTGGGGAAGGATCTGGAAATACTTACATTTCATGGGTTATATTTTAATCTCTGAAGTTTCAGCTTGGAGCCACAAGTTGTTGACAGGCACTAACATTGATGTATTTGCATCTTGTACATTTCAGCTGATGAGTATCGAGCTTGGGGAAGAATATGGAGGAACTGGAGCTTCGTTTTTTTCAACCATATTGGTGGTAGAAGAATTGGCCAAAGTTGATCCAGCTGTGTCTCTTCTGTGCGAACTCCAAAACACACTAACAAATAAGTTGTTTACCATCTATGGAACAGAAGAACAAAAGAGAACTTACTTGCCCAGAGTGGCTAAAGATACAGTGAGTCAAACTCCCTTTACGAAGTGAACTATAACGTAGTTTGTAATGCTTAAGTAATGTCAGTAGGTTGTTTTTTTCTTTTCACTGACTAAATGTGTGACTGCAGCATTGGAATATATCTTTGTGTGTGAACTTTAAAACACTGGTTAGAGCTGAGGTCTGTGATGATACAGATATGTCCTTCCATCAGTACCTGAGAGGTGCAAGTGGAAAGGTGCTTATTAGTTTCATTAAAATTTAATTTGCTGTGGGAAAGAACTTAAAGCAGTTGACTTTGAGACGTGTGATTACATGGTGTTTGTATTCTTAATCTCCATATCTGAAACTTGGTTACTTGGATGCAATAGGTTAAAATGTTTGAATTTAAGAGACTTGTGCTTGTTTATAGCTATTTTCATTGCAGATTTTGTTATATGTTGTGCCTACACGTTCAGTAAAAATTAAAGTGAATTTTTCCCTTCAACTGACAGATAGGCAGCTTCTGTCTTTCGGAGGCTGGATCCGGCAGTGATGCTTTTTCCTTGAAGACTCGGGCTGAAAAGAAAGGAGACTACTATATTATCAATGGCTCAAAGATGTGGATCAGTTTAGCGGAACACGCAGGAGTTTTCTTTGTGATGGCAAATACAGATCCGTCCTTGGTAAGTTGCTACAGAATAGTTGCATTTCAGTGACAGCTGACAAGATACAAAACTATGGATTTTACATTAACAATCTGATGTTAAAGGTTAATATTCTTCATGCTTTTTTCTAGCTAACAGCAAACCTTTAGAAATATTTCCCAACAAAAAATGAGAACTTGCTGAGCAATTTAATAAATTCCTCCCACTAGGGGAAGTAAAAGTGCCAGAGTCAGAAATGCTTAGATGAAGAGCACAGGATGCAGTGGTGTTATTCTGAGTAGTGGAACAGATAGTCTTAAGTACTTCCAACTCTGTGACTTAACAAGTTGTTATTAAAAGGCAAAATAGAGCTTAGGCTACATGCACTGGAAAACGAAGAAGTATACTATAGTGAAGTATGTTCAGGTAAAATACCATAGCTGAATATGCCTGTTTCAAGTTTTGTCACCCATTTGGATATAGGCAGTAGATGCAGAAGAGTCAACTGCAGACTTTATAAAATGTACTAGACCAATGGAGTTGAGTAATAGTCAAATACAAAACTAAATTCTTAAAACTTTTCTGTATTTTTTAACCTATTCTAGTGTCTCTTTCTTAAAAAGTTAACTTGAAGATATTTCATTTTCAGGATTTGACTAAATAAGAAGGGGGGGGTATCTTTTCATTATGTCGAACAGTTGAATGTCGTGTTGCTTTCTGAATTTTTATCATTTCTTCATAAGCTGGTGGGTGATTTGAGTACTACATATGATGAAAATATATTTGATAAGCCAGTTTCTATATTGGTCAACTGCTGCGCGTTGCTGTATAATCTGGAGTTGTTTCTGTATTAGTATAACATTTTAAAAATACATAATATATTGTTTTCTGAAGGTCAGAAATTTACTTTGAAGTATTCAAGTAGGAGATCTAAAGTCAGTGCTGCTCAGTGTTTTATGTAGTACTATAGTATTAAGCAGATGTGAAATTCCATTATTGGAATTAGATATTTAGACCACCATTTGGTGATGTTAATACAAAAACCCATGTCTTGATTACTTTTTTAATTCGTTCTAGGGATACAGGGGAATTACATGCTTCGTAGTAGATCGCAACACAGAGGGACTACATGTAGGGAAGAAGGAGGACAAGCTTGGAATCAGAGCATCTTCTACCTGCCCAGTAACATTTGAAAATGTTAAGGTATTGTAAGTTGTTTAGCTACTGAAGCGTAATTAATGTATAATTGGAGCTTGACCACATTCAAGGAAAACATAAGAATGTTAACTAAATTCCCAATATTTCTTTTCCTCGGACACACTGATTGTTTGGTGTACTTTAACTTTTTCCTCCCTGTTCTTTCACAAAAGTCTTGAGCAGGCTTGGTTTTCTTAAATTTTGATACAGTTTTTCTTACTCATCAGTTCATAATCACATGTATCAGAGAGTGTTCTCATCAGAACATTCTAGGAGTCAAATGCCTGGTTTGGTTTATGCCTTCACTTACGAGGGACAAGAAATAAAACAGACACACCGAGTCACCTGTGAACTGAACCAGTTGCAAAGCGGAGCAGAACAGGAATAATTGTGTGGGTTTATTCTTTAGGTTCCTGAGACCAGTATCCTGGGACAGGTTGGACAAGGCTATAAGTATGCCATCGGACTGCTCAATACCGGCAGGATAGGTATTGCTGCACAGGTGGGTGATTTTGTTTAAGACTAAAGACAACCAGTATATAGCCTTGAATTTGGATGATGTTTTACAAAATATTCAAAGCTGATATGAATAAACTATTTAGAAAATACTGAATTAAAAAGTAAATTGCCACTAGGTGTCACTATTCCTGTATCTAAGTTACAGTGTAATACTGAAACAACTCTAAATGGTAAAATTCTCCTTTAGTGACATAAGCAATAGATTTAGAAAACATTAAATGGCCATTAGTTTGTCTTTGGTCGTTAACTTATTGCTGCTAAAGCTATCAACATTTTTATCTTCCATTATGCAAGTTTATTTTACAAAGAAAATTAGCTTTGGAAAATGTAACACACTGGAACGTATAATATTAATGCTTCCAACTGTGATTTTATGGGATTGGCAAATGTGGCCTTATGCTAACTGGCATATTCCCAACAATTTATTTTTAAAATAAGTATGATTTTTATAGTAGCAGTGTCCTCGTTCATTGTGGTGTTTGAATTGCACCTGAGGGCATCTTAGGGGAAAATATCTGCTGACCTTGGAGTTACTTCAAAACGCTGTGTTCTACTGTAAACTCAATTTGGATTGCAGATTGCTGCTGATTTCAGTGGAAATCAGGTTCAGCGGTATAATACAATGATTTATGACAAGTTTTTATATTTTTAATTTACTTCTGAAAGTAATCTTTTGTTTCTGTTTTGTCGTGGATGTAGTTGTGCTGTATAGGGTTTTGTATGTCTGTGCTACCAATCTCCCTTGTCTTTTGCCCTAGTTTGCAAACAAACTAGAAGTCCTCATGAAGTTTAGACTCCACACAGCAGTATGCTGTGCTGCCAAATGGGTTGGCTTTTCCATCATTTTTAAAGATTATCTGTGATTCAACTTCGTATGATATGGTATTTAGAAACTAGAGCTGTGGGCCCCATTGTTCCCAGAGATATAAATAATATAGAGGTTCTGGCAGTAAAATACAAAGTCTGGATTTTACTCTTAATTACTCCAAGTTACACTTACAACCTAATTAAAAGTTAAGGTCAGGTAGTTGTTATATCTTAGTTAGTACTTTCTTGACACCTTCAGATGAAGCCAAATGTACTTGCATGGACACGAACAGCAGTTCTAAAAGCCCTGTAGTATTGAATTCAGTTTTGCAGTGCTAATAGGTTTAAACGCTAATGAACATCTTGTAAAATGTAACTGTGGCTGTGAAAACAGTTTCAGGTAGTTTTAGTGCAAGGTAGCTGCATATATTCTTACAGGTGCTGAGGTTGCTATGCTTGTTCTATCTATATAAGTTTCTAACTTCTGGAATAAATGGCTAATTCTGACAGTCTAGTGTCTTTTCAAGTGCGAAATTATTTTTATTATGAAAATAACTTTGAATGTTCATTCAGATTATTTTTCCTTTAACAGTGTAGTGTAGATCTGTAGATCTTTAGTTTAACGTAATTTTCCCATGTAATTAAGAATTTGCCAGAAACACAAATGTGCAACCACATTTCACCCGTAACTTTTGTTCAAAAATCAGTGATAGTGTTTTCACAAATATTTTGCCTTTAGTAAGAAATTTTCTTTCAGGAATGGAATAGTGTGGAATAGGTTTATTCCTCAGTGTTTGGTGGGTCTTTTTGTCCTAACTCACCTCAATATGTCTTATTTCTTACAGATGTTAGGACTGGCACAAGGGTGTTTTGACCATACGATTCCCTATACAAAGGAGAGAGTCCAGTTTGGGAAAAGCGTATTCGATTTCCAGGTACTTATTAATGAACACGTGGGAAATGTCCTCCAAGACAGTGGTAGTTACCACAGTAGATGAAGTCAGTAAAATGAGTGATCTGATTTGCACAATTTGTGCTCCACCTCTTGTCATGTCTCTACTTTTCAATATTTGAGAAGAATTTTTCAAAATAATTTCAGATGAGCATTTATCTGCCATTTAAAATATATAAATTCAGTGCTGTGTGCCTTTGCAGGTACCATATAAATCATTTAAAACTTCAAAACGTTACTAACATAACCTTTTTCCTTGATAGTATATTCACTGCCTTTGAAAATAATACACGTGGAACTCCTTTCTCTTCTGATTTTAATATCACAGTATGTTGAGTGAGTCCCAGTTCTTATACCCTTTCATGAGGTGTAGGGGAAGGCCTTTTTCTGGAGACATTAGAAATCATAAAAAGATGAGGAAAACTGATTGAATTATTAGATTTCCTGTGTTACACAAAGACATTTAGTTTCCATGATAATATCTATATCTTAAAACGAAAAAGAGTCTTTGTTGCAAAAATGATATATAGTTTAATAAGGAAGATATATAATTGTAATTACTATAGTAATTTTCTTGTTAAAAGAAACCCACGTCTCGGGGAAGGAACATTACCACTGCTCATAATTTATACAAATTTTAGGAAGCACCCACAGATATCTAGGAAATGATTGGAACTGTGTCTTTTGAATGGGAAATGGAATTTATAATTGCCGAATCATTTTGTTATTTTGACCTGCATATATATTTTTGCAAATTTTAGGGACCAGTGTTAATGTTCTAATGAGATGAAAGATTTCATCGTGGTGTAGGAGCAAGTTAGACAGCTAAGTGTTCTTTTTCAATCATCATTATGTTTGCGTCTCCTTAAATAAACCTATTCTTCTCTAATACCTACCATTTGGAGGTGAGCTCCATCACCTTTTTCCTTCCCTTTGAATCCATTCATCAGTCACACTCTCCAGACTTTCATAGAATCACGGAATGGTTTGGGTTGGAAGGGACCCTAAAGACCATCCAGTTCCAACCCCCTTGCCGTGGGCAGGGACACCTTCCACTAGACCAGGTTGCTCCAAGCCTCATTCTTGTCTCATGGTTATGGGACATGGGAAGAGCTGGTTGTCACCTTGCTATTTCTCCACCTAAATTAGGAGGAGGTACTTTCTGTAGCTTTTCTCAGTTAAGCTCACAGCGTTGCCCTGCCCGTGTCTCTGTGGCGCTGAGGAGGACGTTAAGGTTTGGCTGAAACTTTCCTTGATACTCATCAGTGCACAAAGGTTCACGTTGGACCCTCCTATATAGCCAGTCGGGCAAGACGTTTCCTGGTACTCCTGAATCCAAGAAGAGGGAAGGAGAAAACGGGAGTGAAGTTCCTCAAAGAACTTTGGGGCCCCCGAGGTTTTCCAATGTCGATGTCACAGGTGCCGAGATGTGCACAATTACTAGTCCACCTAGATTTTGGATTTTTATTTTAGGGCGTAGGTACGTTCCTTGGTGAAAAGAATGGTTCTTGCTAGAAATTGCAGCTGTACTAGACACTGCTGCTGTCTGACTTGCGGCCTGCTTATTACAGGGGATGCAACATCAGATAGCTCAGGTGGCCACGCAGCTGGAGGCAGCGAGGTTGCTGACCTACAACGCAGCCCGTCTTGCGGAAACGGGAAGGCCGTTCATAAAGGAGGCCAGCATGGCCAAATACTATGCTGCTGAGGTAACCTGCTGTTCAGTGGGTTTATTTCACTGCTGTTTCAACATTTCTTCTCTTACTGAACGTGTAACTTGTAATTCATGTTTTGCTGGGAGATCTGTGGTTTTATCTTATTTTTCATTCTCGGTCTGTGTGGAATGTCACGTAGGACAGCAGAGAATGAACTGCTCACACCCCTAAATAAAATTTTGAAAAACAAGCGGCAGCATTAAAAGAGAAAGTGAATTAGTAGTTTCTAGAGAGATTTCATTTCCTCAGAATTCTTGTGTCTGGAGAATATGGCACGGTGAGGCTTCATTTGTGACCATTTCAACTCCGCTTGTCCCAGCTCCGAGTCTCAATATGATTCAAAACTTGATTGCTTCTGCCTCTTCATAATTGCTGTTTTGCATACCACTGGTAGTCTTTTTCACAGCGCAGCCTATGAAGTGTTGCAGTAGTGGTTAGTGAATTCTTGATGTCCTCTGATTTCGAATAATGTCATTTTTATTCTAAAATGGCTTGCGTAAGATGAATAGAAAAATATCAGTCCTTCCCCTTCCCATATGTTCTAGTAACTGATTCAGTTGCTTTGTTTTCACTTTTAATAGCTACAAAGAATAATATTTGCTACCACCTGCCTGAAGTTGAATCCTGAAATTGTAACTCTGAAACTATTTTCATAGGTTGCAACGCTGACAACTAGTAAATGTATCGAATGGATGGGTGGCGTTGGATTCACAAAAAATTATCCGATAGAAAAGTATTATCGTGACTGCAAGATAGGTGAGTGATAGTTTCTTAACAAGTGTTTTCTGTAGCGTCAGTAATATTAAAGTTTTGGGATGAATAACTGGCTGGTTTTAAGATATTTTTTCCATGAGACTGTAGTCAACACTGATTCAACGGCTCGGATATAAGAAGGTAAAACTGTAGGTATAATACCTATGTATGTAAGGCTGGTTAAAATGATTAACTAGATGCCAAGAAAATACAGACACAGTCATTGTGTTCAATTCTGTTAAGAAAAATCCAGTTAAAAAAAAAAAAAGAAAATTCTTCCTTTGGGTTTAAGATCCAAATCTATGTGGAGTTTTATTTGCAAGACGTCCTCGTTTACTGGTATAATTCTTGGATGTAAGAGTTTGACATTTCTAACAATACTACCCTTTGAATTTATTGCTGATAGCATTTGCAAATACTTAAATATTTGTTGGTTATTTAGGAATTGCTTTTTTGGGAAAACCTCTTGTCACTCTGTTGTGCCAGCAGAAGAGTGTTCTAATTGTTGCAGATAATAAAATACAAACATCTATGTAAGCAGTAATTCTGTTTCTAGAATTTGCTCAGTAAAGCTTCACTTCATAACCTTAAATGTTCTAGCTGGACTGTTAGAATGGTATCTGGGTCTCTCTTCATATATTCACTGTGGGTTTGTGGTTTCTAATTTATTTTCTTCTGATTTCAGGTACAATATATGAGGGAACTTCAAATATCCAGTTGAGCACCATTGCAAAAAGCTTGGCACAGGAGTACTGAAACCATAAGGACTTCTGACTGTTCATGGAAATAATTTCACTGAATGCTCATTACCCCTGTTTGTAGTCATAAAAATCATGAATAAGAACACATCATCACAGACAAAATCATAAGGAGAACCATGAATTCCCCTTTTCAGGACAGTGAATCCTGAATTCACGTGAAATCATGAATTCCACATTCAGATCCAGCTCACGGTTAAGACTATCTCTGCTCGAGACACTTTTAAGCGAACACATTGGCTGAAATGATTTTGGTGCCTTAGGTTATGCCAGCAGTGTATCTCCACTTTGAGATTTCAGGGTGAAAAGCCAACTCTTTGGCTTACCTGGTGTGACCGGTTCTGTTAAGTCACCTGGGAGCCAGGACCCTACGCCTGCAGCAGAACTGTTGGGTGGCGTGAAGCTGCCGTTTGTTCGTGGTGCCCTGTATTAGCATGGTGTAGAGGAGAGGTGTGGGGAAAGAGAAGTGATGGTTTCCTCTCTCCCAGCTGGAGTGATGTCTGTGGAGCTGCTGTAATTGCAGTAATTTTTATAGCAGCCCTTAGTGTGTTCTTAAGTATATCTTGGTAATTAAGCTCTTCCAGCCCCAATTTGTAGTGCTGAAAGGTGGATAATATCTACCTCCCTTTCCAGCCTTCTCAGCTGTTAAGGGTTTTAATCTAAGAGGCTATTTATAGTTCTCCTTTCATAAAAGGTTGAGTTGAAATCTTTGTGAAATGGGGTTAAAAAAGCTTTAGTAGTTGTGCAAAAAGAGATGTAAGGTAGGTAATAGGAATGCTGTGATACTACCTCACAATGGCCTTCCCGTTTTCAATGCGTTCTACAAACTTTAATCCGCAGAGCCTTCCTGGGAATTGGGGAGGGACTGGAAAACTCACTTATGGAAGTTAGCGGTTCTCTGCAGCGAGCAATGTTTTTCTCCTTTTGAGAGAGAGACAGGGTGTTTTTTTGAGAAGTATGTGCTTCTTTGTCCCTCTCTGTTTACTTAAAATTAGACATTTTATTTACCGCAGAAACCTCTTCAGTGCTGGAGAACTAATTAACTAAAAATCAAGAGACGGAAAGCTTAATTAATGAAAAATTATTATAATTGCTGTAATTGGCAATTTGTTTCAAGTGGTTTTGGGAGGGAAAGATTGGTTTTCTGGTTTTGGCTAACTTAGAAGAATCTCATTTTTAAAGCTTGCGAGTCACTGATGATTCACTTCAAGTGGAGCTTAGAATGTTACAATCCCAGGCTCCCAAAGCATTTTCTAGCAAAACTAGGCTAAATGACACATAAGAAGTAGGGTTTTGTACAACAAGCAGACTGGAGTGCCTCCTTCAAAGAAACAAGGAGGAAAAGCACAAAAAGTTTTCTGACTTGCTGTCAGCTTCAAAGGGAAGTAACTACCTTATGGAATCACTCCCCCCACATACACACTTTGCCTGTGAGGTGAAGACTTACATGATAATTATCCTTACACCAGTAAAAAAAAGCCCCTCCCATATCAGTTTGATCAACAGCTTTGAGATTTTAAAAAATACAAGAGTAGGAGGATAGGCTAGGTGATTTCTGCAGTTTTCTTCTAGCACCATTATTATTATTAACGCATTTCAGGTTGTTTGCACACTTTCTTTCAGCTGAATTGAAACGCCTTAGATTAGACTAGAATTAAGACTCCATACACCACAACAGTTAACTACCGTTATTTTGCTCAGTGTAATCTACCTGTGAGTGTACAGTGATCATAACCATACTACAGAGTGTTTAACGCTGATGAGTGTGATGAGTTGTGCTAATGGGAGATGCTGACCTCAGCTGCTGCGGTCTAGCCTGCCTTGCTAATGTGAGTGTCAGCAGAGATCGGTTTTGGTTCATGCTGTTTAGGTCTCCTAGTTTAAGTTACAATCTTAGCCTGGCTTCTGTAGTTTGGTGTGAGGCTATGAAGGGAGTGATAATATTTAACTGACTTACATAGTGCTAAATAAATATATTTATATAATACAGTGCTAAAAACAAACTGTATAGAATCATAGAATGGTTAGGGTTGGAAGGGACCTTAAAGATCCCCAAGATCCAACCCCGCCATGGGCAGGGACACCTCCCACTAGACTAGGTTGCTCCAAGCTTCATCCAGCCTGGCCTTGGACACTTCCAGGGATGGGGCATCCACGGCTTCTCTGGGGAAGCTGTCTCAGTGCCTCCCCACGCTCTCCAGGAAGACCTTCTTCCTGATACCTAATCTAAACCTCCCCACTTTCAATTTAACCCTGTTCCCCCTTGTCCTGTCACTACAGGCCCTTGTAAAAAGTCCTCTCCCAGCTTCCTTGTAGCCCCTTCGGGTACTGGAAGGTGCTGTAAGGTCTCCCCAGAACCTTCTCTTCTCCAGGCTGAAGAAGCCCAATTCTCTCAGCCTTTCTTTATAGGAGAGGTGCTCCAGCCCTCTGAGCATCTTCCTGGACTCCTCTGGACTCGCTCCAGCCCGTATGGAGGAGAGGGCAGAGCTCCTTGAAGGACTGTTAAAGGCTGGATATCCAGAATATGTAAAAGGACTGTCTCTTTGTGGAGAACTGTGTCAGGTATCTGTTTGAAAAAATAATCAGGGAAATATCAAAATAATGTGATTTTTCTACAGTCTGAACTTGGATGCCATACTCCAGGAAACAACCTGAACGGCCTCGTCAGCTACTCTACAGTTCTCAGAAAAGCCAGGTCAAGCCTTTAACGAATGTTACAGCTGTAAATATTTCACATCTCTCACTTCTCTGTGCTGTATTCTGTACACACTAACTTTCAAAAGAAATGCATGTATTGTATTTGATTTTTGTCTACAAATTCCTGTGGAGGAGTATGCGCACAAGCGAATTATAACCCCTGAGTTTCTTACATCATTGTTTTAAAAGGGCGCTGTGGAGAGCATTAGGTACAAGTCAGCATTTCATCCCCTTACGTCTGATTCCATCGCTGCAGTAACGCAGCCCTTGGATTAGGAATAAAATTACTGTGTCATTGTCCGGGAGCTGTTAAGAGCCGCCTGCGCTCCTCACCCCCTGTTCAGTTTGGGACAGGCATTTACGGATTGTCACAAACGGCATTTCTACGTTCGGCACTGTGGGCACAGGGCTGTGGGTGGTGGGTGGCTACACCAGTAGGTGTGGGGCTGCAGAGCTGGTGTTGTGAATGCCCTGAGCCTTTCTGTGCTAATGACAGCACTCAGAGCTGCTCTATACACAGTGTGTATTTATATTCCTGAGTTTTCCCGTTATGTGCCCTCAGCCCAGACAATCCGGTCTGTTGCCCTGGAACAGCATCTGCGGTATCAAGTGTTGCATCTGGGTGAGAACAGCCCTGCACTGAGGATGTGTTAAGCAGTGCCCAAGTTTGATATTTGACTTGATACAACGCTACACTTGTACGTCAGGTGACAGTTCTCTGATGATCTGTCACTTGAGATTTTTCCCAGATCTTGCAGGTTTTGTACTGGGAGAGAATGGCTGTATCATCTCTCGCGTCTTTAATTTTATCCTGGTTTGTGATAAAGGTCTGAGGCAGATTTCCACAGAAAGGTTTAATCGCTACTTGGGAAATACTCAAATACAACATTTTATATGATGTTTTCTGTGCTCTTTTTCTTTCTTCCATATTTTCTTTTCCCTGTATAAAGATTGTGTTAGAAAAGGCTTATGTGAAATATAAAGTGGTTGTTCATTGGGAGCCTTTTGCTATGTAAAGAATTTTCTAATTAACATGTTACTGCATTTCTCTCTTGGTAAGAGGCATAGTTGAAGTTCTTCCAACCAAGCCAGGCTGGATTTGAGACACGGTCTGCTTTGCAGGCAGCGCTCTGACTTTCCTGGGCTTATTGGATACACGAAAGCTGAAGAGACATTTTTCCTCAACCCCAGAATGTATTCAGTGCACCAATGTGATAGATCTTCCCAAGCATTATGTGAAAGTGGTTAACAACTACCACAAATACTTCATAAATATTTACCTGTTATGTTATCACCCTGCAAACTGTTGGCAGAGGCACAAATCAAGTGAGAGCTGACGGGCAGATATATATATTGTATAGTTCCCAAAGAATTTTCACACGGTTTGTCATTCGGTGTTGTGTCGAAATACAGTTGCCGCAGAGCGTTTTGCATGGAGTTGTCTTCTCTGAAGTGTAACTCCTCGCTCTGGGTGTAGGTGAGGGACATGTTCATGCTCTTCTGGACTTAGCTGCCTGGAGCTACATAGTGTGATCGGCAGTACACACACATGAGAGGAAGCAGGAGTTCTTCCCACAACATCAGAAGGATATAGACTGGTGGGAGTGAATCCAGAGGAGGCCACGAAGATGCTCAGAGGGCTGGAGCCCCTCTGCCATGGGGACAGGCTGAGAGAGTTGGGCTTGTTCAGCCTGGAGAAGAGAAGGCTCCGGGGAGACCTTATACCACCTTCCAGTGCCTGAAGGGGCTACAAGGAAGCTGGGGGGGACTTTTTACAAGGGCCTGTAGTGACAGGACAAGGGATAAGGGGTTTAAACTGAAAGTGGGGAGGTTTAGATTGGAGATCAGGAAGAAGTTCTTCCCGGGGAATGTGGGGAGGCACTGGGACAGGTTGCCCAGAGAAGCTCTGGATGTCCCATCCCTGGAAGTGTCCAAGGCCAGGCTGAATGAGGCTTGGAGCAACCTGGTCTAGTGGAAGGTGTCCCTGCCCATGGCAGGGGGTTGGAACTGGATGATCTTTAAGGTCCCTTCCAACCCAAACCATTCTGGGATTCTATGATTCCCGAGCCCACACCACATGGGTGCATAGTGGATCTAGAGTCCCAGGCTAGCAAATAGGAGTTATAATCATTATTTCAGTTAAATATGCCAGTTGTAAGATCAGTCACTATAATTAACAAAGTCCAGCTTAGCAGCATTGAGGGAATTTCTCATTATCTGATGCTACAGCCATTATTAAGCTGCTTTGAAATCTTGGCGTTTATTATCCTCTAAAAATACCCCTTTCGTGTGCAATAGCTGTCTAATACATTAGGTGACCAGAACTACATGGTGTGTTTCCTAAT